TCATGTATGTCAAAGCTTTCATAAAATGAAAATATTATTACAAGGCCTGTGTTAAAAAGATCAATTATTTAAAACAGATTAAGGCCTGATGACTGATAGAGAGAACATCATAAATGAGTATTCTTCACAGTCAATGAGTATTTGATAAAAAGTTCAACAATATAAGTGAGATTATTCACTATAAGACCTGCTGAGTTGTCTGCAGAAATCATCAACAGAAGAAGATTAATTACTCAAGAATCTTTGCATCTGTTATCTCTGCATTCATCTCTCAAGCTCTTATCATAAGACAATCTCAGCATCTCAGAGCTGATATGTCCTGCAGATTAATATGATGACTGCTTTTTTAAATACTCAACTGTCTGTCAATGAATGAATATATATGAATCAACTCACAGAATTCTATGAAAACTGTGATAATCTTGTGTATGAGTTGATACAGAGACTCTACAGTCTTAAGCAAGTAGTACTCTTATAATATAAGAAGCTGTGAAAAATGCTATTACACTCAGACTTCTGTGTCAGTCTCTATAATATCAGACTATTTATTCATGATGAAAGACAGATCTATATAATTATCTATATAGATAATGTTCATCTCTACAGTCTGAAAATCAATGATGTGAACTGAGTCAAAGTCAAAATCACTGCTAATTATGAGATCAAGAATATAGAGAATTTTAACTACTATCTGAAAATGAAGATTGATAGAGATTTAACTTTATTAACATTATCTTAATCTCTCTTTGTAAGAAATCTTCTGAAGAAATTCTCAATAAATGACTATCACTCTACATTCACTTCTATGAAGAAGAATGTTGATTTTTATAAATAATGATAAGAAATCAATTATATACACAGCAGAATTTATTCTACAGTTCTGTGATTCAAAGGTTGCTTGAGTCGACAGATGTATGCCGGCTTCTTATATATGTTATACTAAATTAATTAGTGGCCGCTATAGCCCCTTTACATTCGTAAGCATGTTCGGAAGCGGCTGCATTATTATTCAGCAGTTGTATGTTCTTCTGAACCACATTCTTCCCTCATCAAATCCAGTCACACTTATGTGATTATGATGTAAGCTGCTTCTCAGAGAAGCTCTCACTATTTTACATCACTTATTCACTAATATTTTCATTCTTCAATTATCATCTGTTATTATCATCATTGAACATCACTATCTTGTACAAGATTTCTGTCTCTCTCTCTTCATCAAGCTCTTTTCAATCTGTTCATCTATCACATTATACACATCTCTGACAATGACTTCTCATTCTCATAACAAGTGTTGTCATAGTGCTCATATCAGGCAGTTTATTAGCAGTAAGTGTAATATGTTGTGAAATATGATCAGAACTTGTTTTCTTCTAACAATTATCAGAATATATTATTATAAATGATAGATCTTCTTTATCTTCTTATACACTCTCAACCTTCTTTTCTCAGCAGCATCTGATCATGTTTTCTGATTGTATTTTCTAGCATGATTTTGCATGAACACAGATGCTGATATATTTGTTTTGATTTATATAGAATCTTCATGCATTGACAGATCTGTATTCACAGATAATAGTGAATGTCTCAATATTAAATCATTGATTAAGAACTTGAAGACTGTGATAATGAAGAAATTGTCTGTGTTATATATAACTGAGTCTCTCATATTTCTCTCTGCCTCTTCTATTATTTCTCTTAAATCTTCTATACTTATCTCTGTATCTGATTCTCTCACTTCTGCTACCTCTGCTCTCACTACTCTCACTTTCACTACTTCTGCTCTCTCTGTCTCTGCTGCTTCTACTGTTATTATTAACTCTTCTCATTTCAAGAAGATATTGCATAGACTTGATAAATCATGTTTCTCAGTATGTACACTCTCACTCTTTCTGCTGATCTCTGGAATAATTTATTATATAAAGACTGCATATAACACAACTATCTGAAGCTCAGTCACAGATACTGATTATTACATTTATTTTAAATATTTGTGATAAGATAATTATGTATTTATATCAGAGAATTACTTCTCTCTTTAACAGTGTTAAGATTATAAGTCTTTTTCTTTTTTCTTTTCTTTCTAATACTGATTTTTCTGTTCTTAGAAAAAATTATTATGAGTTTATTATATATGAGTATGATATTTATAGGACATTAAGAACTTTTTATAACTGTTAATTCAATATTGTAAATACATCTGCTCTGATGAATTTCTTTGAAATGATAAACTCATATCAGTCTATTCTATAATATCTATCATCTGACTTTATTATACAGATGAAGAATATCTGTGTTTTCAGAAACAGAAACACAGATATTATACTCTTTTACACTTATAAGTGTGAGACTTGTATATCTTATCTGAGATATTATCATGAAAATGAGCTGTTTATATATCGTATTCTTCTCTCTGCATTCTCTTATATCTCTCTCTCTCTTTCTGAGAAGTCTTGTGCATGTTGTAATTATGTATACAGTTCTAAGATCAGCAGATGTTTATTGAGTAACTGTTCTCATCTCTGATTTTGTAATTTCATATACTAATAATGATTCTTAGTTGCTTCAGCATCAGAGGTCATTTTAATCTCTGAAGATGACAATGCTACTGAGACTATCTTCTTCTATCTTCAAGCTTCTCTCATTGTTTTCTCTTTCTTCTTTATAAAGAAGGTTGTACATACACTGAGTTATAAGTGTTTAGCTCTGAGTGACTTCTGCTATTATTCATCTGATCTGTCTGTGTCTTTTTCTACAGTCTCTCTTATCTTTACTTTCTCTGTCTTAGCTTCTAATTCTGCAGATTCTGCACTCTTCTTCAATTTTTCTACACACACATATACACATTTCTATATTGGCATTTCAGTCAATCTTGTGATAAATGACATTAATGTTGTATGCAGAGTGATAGAGAAATCAGAGATATATACAGTGTTATTATAAGAGTGACTTACAGCTCTTGAATTTCTTACAGATCTTGAGTTTTAAGATTTCCTTTGTTTTCAGTGTTTTTCAAGTGATATGATGTTGAAAATAGATTAAACATGTGATGTATGAAAAGAGATGAGATGTATATAATAATATTTGTCTTTTTACAGCTGACTCTTACAGTTGATAATTAATTTATTATCTCTTAAGTTCTTCTCTTTTCTTTTCTTATGTCTTTTCTTTGTCTGCTAGTCACTACTCTTACACAACCTCTATATAATACAGTGTTCAGTGACTAGATTCAGCAGCTTTCATCTTTTGTGATTCTGCTTTATATATTATACTGTCTCTCTTCATCTGCTCAGACTACTACAGTGAATAGCTTATTGAAACTAATCTTATCTGATCTCTGAGTGTCTTTAGAGATTGAGATAACTTAATCTTATATATCTGCAGATGTTTCAGATGCTTCATTCTCTGTAGTCTCTGCAATTGAACTAATATAAACAGTTGAATTCAACTCTGAATCTCTTTTTCTTCTGCAATCTGACTCATATACAAGTCTGCTGCTTTGAGACTGATCTTTACTGTATTACATCTGCTATCTGCAGTGTGATATTATACAGTCAGCTACAGTCTCATTACTTATTAAAGTGTGATATTCATCTGATTTCTTCATTGCTTCTCATTCTTTTCTTATAATTATAAAAAGATTGAAATAAGTGAGATTATCTGATTTGTAAGTGTCTATGATTTCTCTTACTTTGTAAGACTTTTTAATTGTAAGCTTCTTCTTTTTCAATACTGATAATAATGCTGTAGATGATTATAATTCACTTAAGTTTTACATCTTCATCTTTATAAGATGTGAATTAGTTATTAAGTTGTATAAGATCTGTTCCTCTGATTCTTTCAATGTATATATTCTCAGAGAATGTGATTTAAATATTTTATAGAGCTCAAATCATCTAGATTGAAACTTCTCAGAACTCTCATTATATATAAGAACTTATATTTTTATCTTGAGACTTAATTTCTTAACTAGTGAGTCTTGTATTCTTTTCAATTGAATTGCTCAGTTCAGAAGTAGCTTATTAGCTTTTATATGTACATGACTGATCTCTTTGAATCTTGATTCTGAATCTATGACTGCTGTATCTATGACTGCTGTGATTACTGCATCTATAACTGCTGTTCTCTCTCTCATCTTTTCTGAAGCATTCTTCAGAATGCACGGATGCAATCCATATAACAGATAGAATAATGAACACTTAAAGACTGCATACTGCTGAATTCGCATGACTAATAGTACCTGTCTAAGATATTCATCTCATAATCTCATAGACTTACTCACTAGATATTTTATCAGCATGTTGCTCAGAATTTCATTCAAGTGTTTCATCTTCATTTATCTGTAGATGATATAGTATTGTTTTACAATATCTTGTCTGTAACTGTGTCATAAAATGTCTCACTGCTTCTTCTATGAGATTCACACTATTATCAGTCAGAATTTCATGTGATATTTCATAGTTAATGTAGATCTCATCATGTGTAAGAACTTCATCACTATCTTCTTAATTATCTCTGAAACTGCTTTCACTACTGATCAATCTGTAGTGTATTTAATAGTAGTGATTATTCAATGATTTTCATTTAGTATTTATAGTAATATATCTATGAGATTCATCTCTCATCACTTGAATAACTGTATCATACTTTTCATCTGATATTATTATTATTATTATTATTCTTCAATTATAGATGTATGCAGTCAGAGACTATAACATCTACCTGAGAACTTTTAGCTCTCAGGGTTTTTTCTATATCTGTAAAGTTAACTATTATACATTCATCAATTTCAGATATATAAAATCAGAAAATTCCAGCTCAGAATACAAAAACTGTTTATAAATTACAGTATTTTAATATCTTCTAATACTTTGAAATCATTTGATAATATCATGATAAAAGAAAAGAGAACACAGTCTTAAAGATAGACATATTAAATAAATAGATAGAAAAGAATTGAAAGAAAAAGATAAAGTAAAGAGAGACTGTAACAAAATAAATTATTAAAAGATAGTATATAGCTGTGACAGGCTGCGCCCGATCAATCATATAGACTATTTCATTACACTTCATAGATTCTTCCACTTCATTCTTGAACACGTACACTCTGATTCTCAGCCATCTTTGATCGCCGATCCTCAGCCGCCACAAACATATATAGATTCTTCCGCCCCAAAGCTTCACTGCATATGCCATCACATATATGTATAAATATTCACTCTGATTGCTGATTCCCACACTTTCTCTTTCTTTCCTTCTCTAATGTTTTTCTCTTTATTATATAAGACCTATCAATATAATACTGATCTATTCAGTGTAGGCCTCTTACACTAGAAAAACATTCATTATCTTCTTATTAGAAATGATTATTCACACATTGTCTTCTCATTAGAAACAAATTACTCACTGAGATATCTGAATGTGTAACAACACATAAGAAATAGAGAAACAGTCAAATAGTTAAGTGAACACTGAGTTATCAGATAGAAGCTTGCTTGCCAGTTACTCTGACTCTGTAATAAGATCTTACAAAGAGAATATCAGTTAAAGACCTGAGAGTCCTGACCTCAGATGTATGAGATATTCATATGATTACACATTCAATGATTAATATAACCATGTCTAACAATAATATGAAACTCTCAAATATGAGTATAGATGTGATATCACAGTGACTCTGAGCAATGTTGAAATTATAATAATAATAAATAGCTGATATGCATGTCACTCAACAACTTCAATACAAAGAGATTCAATGATTAATTCATATGATTCTAACACCTACAGAATTGAATACAAAAGCACTGAAGAAACACTTAGATACTCTCACACATTTCAATACTTTCAATCTCACTCTCTACTCATCATGAAGAATGAAAATGCTTATGAAACTGAGTGTAGATGAAGATACTATCAGTTTATTAACTAATTAAGATTGATATATTAATAGATAATTGAAGGATTGTGTGAAACAGAAGTTTCATTCATGAATGAAAGCATATGAACCAGTGTTGCAAATGCCTGATAATATTATCAAATATCTATGTTCTGTTCTAAGACACTGCCATGCAACAGAAAGCATTAGATTAGTTACAGAGTGCTTAACAGAGAAACACTTCTCTTACAACATTCATTTTTAACTTCAATATCAAGATTCTAGAAGCAGGTGATTAATCTTGAGAGAATTAAATGAAGATTAGTATGCTTAAGAAGATATTAACTTTCAAACTCTTACAGACTCTTATAAGTGTAGATGATGATCAGACTTATAAAGATTTCTACACACAGCTCTGAATATTAAACAATCATCTTATCAAGCTCAAGAGTATACAGAACAGTGATAGAAGATATTACACTTCAGTCATTTATATATCTGCACTGAAGAACAGCAATGATGCAGATGTTATGAACTGAATAGATTCAAATGTCTATATATAAGCAAGAGTTTTCACTGTTTAAACAGGCTTCTGAGTTTCTGAGATCACTTCTGAAGAAGTCACTGATCAATGTCAACATAAAGTATACATCAACTGTACCTGATTGAAATACATCACTTTCAACTGCTAATTGATCTATGTGTCTTCACACTTGAGAGAGAGATCAGTGCCTTCTCATTTGAAGAATGAATCAGTGCCTGTCCATGTCAACTATGTTACATTAGAGGAAGATTCAGAAGATAACTATAAGAATGCTCTGATGAAACAGAGAAAAGATTAGCTTCTATTCAAATTCACAAACAGAAGCTTGAAGAGATCAGATAATAATAATTTAAAGAGAAAATAATAATGAATGCAATTCTTGTATCTACTGTGATTGATAATATGTATAATATAAAAGCCATGATAGACAGCAGTCTATATTACTATACAATGATAAAATCTTCAGTTGTAAGATATTATAATCTTTAGTATATCTCTTTATCAAAATCCTGACTTCTTGCAGAATTTGATAATTTAAAAGACATTTGTATCTGTTACATGATGAAGTTGATTATAGATGTGAAAGAACATCAACATGAAGATGTCTATGTATATGAAGTTGATAATCTTGATTATAATCTTATATTAGAACTTGCCTGACTATCTGAACAAGGCATCTTGTTAAATGCTTGAAACAGAAGCTTGATATTCTCTAATAATAATAGGATTCACAAAGATGATATTCATAAGATCATGAATCTGACATAGATCTCTGTTAATATATATAAACTGCTCTGAAAAAGAAGTTGCTGATAGCAGAATCATGTGATAATCTATTCTGTCAGTCTGATCAATATTAAAAAGACTCTAGAAAAGTTATTCTATGTTATAATAACAGATTCTTATATAAAACTCTCTCAATAATATCATAAATATCTAGATATCTTCTGACAAGATAATAATATAAACATATCTCTCTTACAAGATCTGAGAGTGAATCACAGTATCAAGTTAGAGAAAAAGAATGATAAGAACTCTGAACTGTTACAAGACTCTCTTTATAACATGTTCTGAGATGAACTTCTTCTTCTTCAAAAGACACTCAATGATGTGTTGAATAAAGAATTTATATATATTAGTAACTCTTTCACTGCAGTCTCTATTCTCTTTGCAAAGAAATCAGATGAAGAACTTTGATTCTGTGTGAATTATCAAGAATTGAACAGATTAATGAAGAAGAACTGTTATTCTTTATCTCTTATTAATGAAACTCTAGCTT